CTGAACCCTGAACCCTAAATCCTGCACCTTAAACCCCTATAACCCTAAACCGCAAACCCTGAATCCAGGCAATGCAATGTTAATGAGGCCTGCTTGCACTGCTCCAACAGATCCTCGCGCTTCGACTTCAAGGCCTCTGGGCTTCAGAGGTCAAATATCTTAAATGCATGTGTAAATATGTATGAATACAAAATACCAATTATACATATATATATATATATACACATATAGAAGCACATACATACGTGTGTGTATCATGTACACAGTTTTATGTGTACATGTAACTTCGAGCCATTATTACAGTCCATGATTCTTTGCTCGTTTTGGAGGGGTGGCTGCAGAGTTGCGCTTGGAGTTCGGTTTTGAAGGTTAAGGTTTGCAATGTAGCTATGAGTTCTCCTTTTGGGGGAGGGATGGGGGAGGTGAGCTTTGCCTTTTCGGCCATAGGGTTTTACAAGAACTTATGCACCTGGATGCCCAGAAATTGGGGGATCAGGAGTGGACGCGCGCGTTTCTGGAACTCTGTGTCCTTCGTGCATGTGGAATGGAAGGCCCCTACTGTTGAGCAACGTCTTTGAAACAGTAGAAAAGAACTGCCAAAAACCTTGAGATTCGAGATGGTTACCCTTTCTCAAGCATAGTATGGGCATAGCGACCTTCTGTTGCTATGCTTGTGCCAGCAACTGCAAAAAGATCTGACCGTCAAACAGTACGCTGCCCTTCCCTCAGACAATGAAGAGCTTCATGCACTAAAACAGAGATCCTGTCAGCGAGAGACGGTTCGTTTCAAGAGGGCAGAACTGACTTCTTTCTTTGCGGCAGCGATTGTTAATTTCTACCAGATTGTCCTGCATGTAGAATTTTCAACCCTTATTCAACATGAATTCTTCCTACGATCCCTCAACTACTTCCTAACCTATACTATAACACGCAGAACGTTTCAATCTTTAAGGTGGGAGATTCATCATCCCCTTTAACTTTCAAAAACTAGCCCCTACACCCTAAACCCTAATCCTGGTCCTAACCTACTTAGCCTAATCATTGGTCCTAACCTACTTAGCCAGCCCTCGCAAGCACCCAAGTTTAACTTCTAAAAAGCCCTTTATACATGTGTACATATGTATATATATATACATCCTTGTAACAGTAAAATCACATAAGTCCTACATAGACCCTCTAAAAACAAAGCACGGAACCTGTCTGAGCTGCCCGCTTGGACCTGCTCTTTGCTACACTTCTGGTCCATCAAGCCATGAAGCTCCTGAGACTTTCGGGTTTAGTGCCTAGGATTTAGGGTTTAGGGCTTAAGGACTAGGGTCTAGGCTTTGGGATCTAGGGTTCAGAGTTTAGGGTGTAGGATTTAGGGTTTGGGGTTTAGGTACCTAGA